TTTGGGAGTGAGAACGTGTTGTTTGTGCAACCAGAAGACTTTTCCAACTGGAGGAGCTTCCTCCGTGCTGTTTTAAGGCACTTCTACCTTGGCTTAATTCTTGGTACCTTTCTTGTATATAAATAGATACATTTATGCTTAAACATTTGTTAAAATGGACTAAAATTAAACGTTGTTTACATTTTAATCTATGAAGCCAAAGCTAAAGAGAGTAATGTACAAAGTTAAAAGCAGCTGCTGCACTTCACAAAGGTTACTGTCACAGGAGATGCAAAAATAAAGCCCGGGAGCGAGTCAGGACTCTGCTGCGTCTCTGTGCTTTTGAGGAACTCACCCAGAAGTAATCGCAGTAGCTCCATTCGTCGGGCTTGAGGAGCTGCTGCTCCGGACCTTCTCCAGGCAGAGGAAAAGTCACACAGTTTATCTGAAGTAAGAAACGAGAGGAGACAGAAAGGTGACGAGTTATGACCCAACTGAAACAGAGCTGCTGAAGTGCTGCGGGAAGGAAACTAAATGTGGACGCAAGCAAGGTTAGAGTTTTATCTGGATCATGGGCATGGCGGGAAAAAGGTCAGTCGTGAGTAAACGTATGTGGCGATGAGGAAGGTGACCCGTGGAGGCTTCAGGGAGGAGAGAGAGACAGACTATCACCGAAAACAAAGAGAAAGCATTTCGTCTGTACGGCTCAAATCGAACAAATTAACTTTGTAAACTTGACAATATGTAGTGTGAGAGATAAACACACCCAGCACTCAGCCTGAATACAGACTCCCTGGTCCACAGCGTCTTCAATTACTCTCTGAGTTGCAATTATGTAATGTTCACCATCTGCGAGTCCTCCCTCCTGGCACAGCAAGATACCCTCTGTGCCATGTCAACCGCTGCTGCAAACTGCACGGGCATCCAGGCAGGCTGCTTCATCCACAAACGCACAAAAACACACACTGACTCACACTGTTTACAGCATGAGTTCACCACTGTACTGCTGTCACACAGGCTGGAGAGAAACAACATCTACCAGCTGCTTCTTTCTTTTCACTCCAGCATGTGAAATAAAGAGCAGGACAGGGCTCGTTTTAAGCAACACAACATCAGTCGTGTGTATCCAGGTTTACCTCTCCAGCTGGTGAGCGATGCTTCAGGATTAAAGTTTGGGGTAGATTCAAAGCCAGGGAAGATTTATTCACAGCATACTCTGTGTGGTACCCATCAAACTAAATATAAAGCATCGAGCAGGATGCTCAAAAACAAAGCGGTACTTTTGCTATTATTGTGTGGGTGGAGCTCCTGCTTTGCTATCAGATCTGCAGAAGCCGGTAAACATGGATCTCACACGCTGCTGTTCGGGAATTGGTTTATCTTTCACAGTGTTTTTTGTATATTCAATGCTTCTCTAGTGCCAGTGTTTTAATGAAGCCATTCTCAGGTCTGGAGTGCTGCGGCTCACTTACGTAAGAGAAAATGCCATGAGGCCAACATCACCTTAAGTCTTCACTCTGCTGAAAATGCAAGAGAAACTGATGTATGTCCTTGAAATTGTTATTCAAAAAATACAAGCAACACAGGTAGTTGGTTATAAACTGCTCATGCTACACAACCATAAGACACAAGAAAGACTATTGAGTAATATTACAACCAACCAAAATCTTTAATTTACTTATTAAAGTAAATTTATTTAGTAAATTCTTTTAAAGTAGACTATGGCCCACCTGCAGGACCTTCATGGCCAAAGAGGGTCCCAGGCCACACTTTGGGAATCCCTGTTTTAATGGGTTGACATGTGAGTTAAAAGATGTTCAACTTTGTCCTTTAGATGCAGATGGACAGCTGAGTCTTGTCCTGTGGAGGTGGCTCTTCTGTGTTGTGCCATGCGCTTGTGAAGTGGCTGTTTGGTCTCTCCGATGTAGAGGTCTGGGCAATGTAAAGGTCACTCTTACGAGGATTCCAATGTTCTCATTTTGGACAGAGAGGACAGATGGTTTGAAAGAGGAGTGAAAGAAGCCATGTATGTCCACTGTGAGCGACCATCTTTGAACAGAGGTGGTGGTTTACGGCACCAACTGTCTGCCATCTATAATCCAGTTTTGAGATCCCTTCCCAGATGCCTTAACGCCCACTCACATCCTGGGCCATCTGACCTCAGGAAATCACATGATA